TATTATAAGATGGATTTAATTGATAAATATTTTTTTATTCACAATTTTATAATATTTTCTTTTGAAAAGAGGGAATCTTTATATTAATATTCACCTTGCATTAACAAATTTGAAAATGGCGCCAAAAAATAGGATTAACAGTATACTGGACTGCGTTCCGTTTTAAAAAGTCACCAGTATAACTAGCTATAAAGGAATGGGCTTCCAGTATACTAAATTGACGTCATACTGTTCAGTGGTCGCAGTGTATATCGGAACATACCCGTAATGTACAAACAAACTTTACTCATCGTCATCAGCCCTTAAACGTCCCCACTGCAGGGACTCAGGCCTTCCGTATGGATGGGTAACTAGGGTAGGCTATGACCCTCCACGCTGCTGTTCCAATACCGCTGCTGGACCAACGGCTTAACGTGCCTCACAAAGCACAGAGTAGCTAAAGATAATATCTTTTTGGTTATCACACGTCCCGTGACCGACCCTTGCAAAAGTTGCTTAACTACAACGACCGCTTCTTCACTCACTACCCCGTAAATGATATTTTAAGTTTATAAAAAAATATTGACTACCATAAATACTTTTTTTATTTACATATTAGTTTTCTTTTACTTTTCCAGCATAAATTATAGCCTTGCTATCATCATCGTATTATATGCAAAGAAATAATCAAAATGTTCCTCCTTAAAATAGTAGGATAGATATTGACTATCATGTATATGAAATGACTTTGTTGTAAAAATGTCTAATAAAATACATACATAAAGCTTTATTCACATAAACATATCAGTGCCGTCGCAGTATCGGCAAAGTTCGTATCAGTTTTAGTGATGCGTCCGTTCTTTTATTCGCCTGCCGTCAGTGTTTTGGAAGGCTAATAATAAAACGCAAATAATATAATATGAAGAATTGTGATTCTAAATATGTAATTGTGAGAAATTATTGCAACAAAGAATTAATTAAATATAATAAAAAACATCTTCGACCTTCTAAACAGCGTCCGTGATCCGATAAAAAAATCGCCTTCGCCGATCACGTTAGATTGCCGGTACCGGCACTTGCACTGACTAAAATAAATACGTTCACATTAAAGTGTAAAAAATAATTAACGTTGATGTACACAGCTGCACATCGGACTATACATCGTGGACTCTATACCAAGCGCGATTGGTATAGACTACTAAAAGAGGTCTGTTTACGACGGTGGTGATGACGTGTGGCCGTGCGTATCTGTTCCAGTACTGCGCTAGCACTATCAGTGCTAATTTGTAACCATAAACCGTACCGCGCGTCACCGATATGTGTGAATAAAGCTTAAATGACGATTTATAAATGAAAGTGCAAAGATCAGCCGCCTAGCAGGATAACAGTAAAGTCGGTCACAGATATTGTCGCGTCTGTCGTCTGCTCCATATAATAGATAGAGCAGACTACAGAAATTATAAACAATTGGGGCAAACGTACTTTTTATTGACATTTATCTATTTTATATCCTTGCAGATTTTTAACAGAAACTGACACTGAAATTTATTGTATTCCAAATATTTATTTCGATCTCTAGTTCTTTCTAAATTAAATCTTTCTTTTTATTTGCATACGATTTACTAACTTTAGCGCGAATATATTTAATAACGTAATAATAAAATGAAGTATAAAAACTCAAATATAGTAAGTATAACTAGAAAACAGCGAAAATGTGACAAGATGAAAGAACTACGATACCAATTTATTAATTAAAAAAGAATAAACAAATATACAAAAAATATGAAACTCTTTAGTGGGAGCTTTCCAGACAGTCGGTGACCCTGTGACCGTACACATTTAACAAAATTGAAGCTGTTTATGAATTTGTTATCTACAATTTTAGATACAGTCGATAAACTGACAGTATCTCCGATAGACATTTTCATAAATTGGATATTTTTGCGTGTAATAAGACTATTACTCTATGTAATAGTCTAATAACAAAAGATACTAAAACCGTCTTCACAAAAACAAAACTTTTTTTTACTCGACTACGGGGAAGCTAAAAGGAGGGTTATGATTTTAGCCGTCACGTATGTAATAATGTTCATCTGTTCCCTTGTGATTACGAAACTACTCATCCTAACTGGACAAAAGAGGTATAATTAGAAGCGTCTAAGTTATTGTATATGACGTTATAATAAATTGGCAACAGCGCCCTCTAGAGAGCATAAAGTAAGAAACTAAAAAAAATATATTCATCAAACATTGTACCCAAAAATTAATTGAATAAAAAAGTTCAGAAACTAAAACTTGACTACAGCTTAATCACGCTCTAAAAAGTTTGAAACAAGAAATTAATTTTATAGCGATGATCAAAGGACAGCGTAGTCGTATGCCCTGTCACAACAGTTTGTTTTGTTATGATCAGTGGTGTACTATTTTTCTTTTTATTCTTTATTACAAAGAGTAACTTTATTGTAATGAATTTTTGTACTAAAATAAAGATAAATAATAATAACAATGTCGCTGCACACATTAATCGAAAAACTTAGGGTATCATACGATATTGATCTGCTAATCAGAACAATTTTTTTATTATTTATGTTTTATATACACATCTCTAAATAAATTATATAATAATTTTAACTTTGTTAAAGTACTATGACACATATAAAATTACTATATAGTAAACTTTGATATAAAACGGTTGTATTTCGAATGAGTTATATAAATATATGTGCTGCACATTTAATTTTTTATATGAGTCGTATCGAATCTTTTCTAGCTATTTTGATATAGTCTTCTTATTTTTATAAATAGCTAGAAAAGATTATATAAATAAAATAAAGTACAATATAGTAAAGTACACACAAAGATCTTATCTTACTTAATAAGTGTCATTTCCTTATATATATTAGCCTGTTGCCAAAACGATATTTAGAATTTTTTTTTTTGTAGCACCCTGTACCTATATAGAGTATAATAAAATAGATATCATCCTAACGTTCACGTTTTCCTGCCTCGTGTTTCCCATACCTATTTCCGAGTCAATAACAAACGACATCGACTCCATGAATCTCTCCAGTTATTTATTGCATATTCGTAATACCCTGTCTATGGGACGCCTATGGGAGTCACAAATCACCACAAGCCTTGTAACAGGGTATGCCATAACTTAATGATTTATTCAACTTCGATGTTGTACTAAATTCATTACATATATGAATGAAGAGTAACGATCATGCTTATTCTACGTCGGGTTATGCAAAATTCTAATTTGGACCATTATTTAATATTAAAATTATCAATTTTAATAGCTTTTTGAGGACACGTTTAGCGGTTGGTCCTGCTGTATCTATAGTCGTTAAAAATTACCAATCCACACTGGACTCCGTGGTAGATTACGGCCTGGATGCGATTTTATCCACGGGGATGCTCAGTGTTCTAACGAAATAAAGATATTCTAAGAATCAGCGTGTTTTCATCATCAGCCCTTTTACATCCATACTGCAGGAGGTCAGGCCTTCCAGGAGGTCCGCATTGGGCTACCCTCCACGCTGGGCCAATGCGAATCGGAGGGAATTAACGACTGCAACTGCAGCCGGGACCAACGGCTTAACGTGCCTTGCTGTAGATTAGAAGACACTCTCCAAGTCGCATTAGGCCAGCGTGAAGTATCTATTATGCCGTTAAGAAGTTTGAAATTAGGGCCAAGAGCGACGGACTCACGCTCTGAGAGTTCCTTTTAGGTTATAAATAATAAAAAAAACATTATGAATCAATAAGAATTCAAACATCGTACAAAGTAAATAGAATGTTTTAAAAATGTGCACTAGTACGTGCTAGAACGAGATTCAATTATAAATTCTGACTCACTATATGACTACATTTTAAAAAAATCTGATTTTTTCGAGAACTATAAAATCCTGTCAATTTTTATTCCCTTTTTTTGCAGCGTACCTTTCTCATGTTAATTTAGAAATTTTATTTTTCACAGCTTTAAAGGAAACCTGATTTTAATATCAACTCAATATCTTTCCATGATCCTGAAATAAAGGGCCTTGAAAGACAAACAAATGGACAATAAAGCAAACCCGTTACGTTTTTTCTTTTGAAGTACGGAACCCTAGAAAATTATTTTAAACAAATAAATAAATATTAAACAATAACTAGCTAAAGCCCCCGTATTATGGAGTATCTGAGACAACGAAGGTACCACAACACCCAGACCCGAGGCAATACAGAAAAAAGTTCATTTTCAACATTGACCCCACCGGGAATCGAACCCGGGACCTCAGAATTGGAGATGTAGATTTGTGACACCTTGAAATCGGTGTGCGAACCACTAGGCTGCGGAAGTCATTATTTACTAATTATATTACAGGATTAGAAATGGCTTCAACTTACAGATACAATGCAATTGATATTTGCTAACAAAAGTTGACAGATTGGAAGTTATTAAAGTTGGAGTTCCATCGTCGGAATCGCTTAAAATAATAAGTATCGTTACTGAAGCTAAAAGGGCCATCAAAATAAGTGATTTAATACTTAAATTTTGTTAATGTTTAAATCGTTAAAATTGTTTGACAACAATACAGAAACGACCTCGTTCCAAATCTGACGTTAGATATATCAAGTATCTCACTGCAGTAAGCGGGAGTACGCGGCGGATAATCCGTCGAGGATGCAAGCTTGAATATCGTCTATACTAATATTTGATATTTTTCTATTTGCATAGATTCAATATTTTTCTATTTGCATCGATTTGATATTTTTCTATTGCAATAGGCTCCAAACTTACAGGACCGATTTAAAAAGTTATTTCACCTACGGGAAGCTACACAAGCAATATAGTTCTTATGTTCCGCGACCGAATATACGCGACGCATATTCCGACAGATATGCATAATATATTTGTCTGCATAAGTAATCTTTCTGTATTGCTGTGATGAAAATTCTAGTAAAAGAGGTATTAAAAGTACATATATTGAAAAATGCCGATACGACAATAAATAACAGAAAAACAACTAAGCAATAAATTAAAGAAATTTAATTAAAATATCTTCATGAAAAATTCGCCAATTACAAAGTATGACTTTTACGGTTATACTTTAATTTTGGTTAAAACCCTTTTACTATTTACAAAATGACTTATATTACTATATTATGTAACGACGTCATAAAAAAGGTCGAGTTTGGTTCTTGTTCAAATTGATCTTATTAAAAATATACGTTATGTGAATGCTGATATAGCTTACAAAGCAGCAAAAGATAACAATTTATGAAAAATTGTAAAATAAAAAGACACATTGAATATATCCTAAATGAATTCTATGATAGTGCAGATTGATATTAATTAAATCACAAAGCACTTATATTATATTAAACACTGCAGTAAAGCATATAATAGTTAAGTGCTTCTTATTTTTCTTGTTAAACCAAAATCCTAGGCAATGATTGTAACTTAATACAAAAGCGGAATCAAATAATAAGATTAAGATGACGCATTTATCCAAACACCTCAAAACCTGCATAGTGTCAATTTTACTTCAGAAAAGTGTAGTATTGATTCGTACTACCTTGATGAATATAATTTGAATACAAATTCATTTGTTTCTAATTCCAATTTACGCCCTTGCATTTATTAAAAAATGTAACATGAATCTTTTGAACAGATGAAGGAAGACTTATAATTATTGTAAGATAGTCCACCCAATTGCACATTCGTCCATTACACACAAAGTAATTTGTTTAAAGCGACATTACCTGTAGATATTTTCAAATACTGAATATTCAATTCTGCTTAAAGTCATCCTTAAACCTCGCCGGACGTTTATGCAACTGACCGTTTGTAGTATTGTTATCGTACTTATCGTACTATCCTATATGTTAAGAAAAATACTTAAAAAAATCTCCAGGCCCAGATGGGATAGTGATTTTTTTATAGATTTATAATATTAGTCTTTAAAAGAAATATTAATATAGTATTGCCAATGCAACATTGATCAAATATAAAAAGCAATAGTTTTTTAATACAATAGATGAAAAACATTTTTTTTTTACCTTTAATTTCTTTAAATATTATTAACTAAACGTACGCCTTCTGTAATTTATCATTATGTAAATCTAAGTTTTCGGTAAAGGAATATTACAAGGCGTTTGATAATATTGTGGTGGTTCATTTAACGTTGTTGCTCCTAAAACACCTCCCGCTGCTACTAATAGTAGTCTACGTCTTCTATGGTGCCGTAGTAAGGAAGACACGCTTGTGAAGCTCCTCTCTCCTCTCCTGGCGAAACCTAAAGCCAGTCTGCCATCTGGTCGCCGACGAACGCCAACGTTGTGTACCGCGTTGGAACAGCATACGCTCAGTGTGTACACGTGGTTCGACTGTGAAATATAAATAAATCTTAGTTAACCACCTTCACAAAATTTGAATAGAGGAATTCAGGAATAACTACTTGAATAAAGACTTAAATAGTCATTTTCTTTATACAAAGCCATCAGCATTTCTACTGAAGGCAAACTACAGAATTCCACTAGTGAAACAGCTTTATTTATACAAACAACTGTAAACAGTGTCAATAAATGAGCAAGTGGAAACAAAGCGGAACGGGGACAGAACAATCTCAAGTTTTCGAGTTAATGTCTTGTAAATGATTCTGCAGGCGACCCGAACTGTAATCCAAGAAGTACCTTCGGGTATCCTCTAGAAGCGAAGCAATAACGTGTCCCAGTAATGATTCGATCTGGTGTAAAAAGGCCAAAAGATCCAGCTTCATGCCAATTTATATAAAAGTCATTGTTTACTTTTTCTATATTCTTTATCTAAGTTTTACCAACTCACCATTATACTTTATTCTTGATACAGACAGTTCTTAAACTTTTTGGTTTATTTAACCAACATATAAAAAGATCAGTGTCATTAAAATAATACAAAGACCGTGGTTTGACCAATATCATAATAAAATATTATATAGACGCATCACTATGACGACAATTACGGTGCTCACATCATCTTTTAAACATTTTCGTGACCCAAGTCAATACTTTGTACCACAGTTAATACTATTGTGGTTATCATATATAAAAATTAATTTCTGTGGTGTTTGTACTATTCCAATACCGCCCGAGATCCGATATCGCGTCAAGCTCGAGATAATAACTTTTTGATCTCTCATACTGTGACCGGCCATGTGAAAGTTACTTAATTTCTAGACGAACTAACCACTGCGCCATCTAGCGCCTCTTAAATAATATTACTGTACTGTTAACGGTATTAACTGGTTCACAAGCTTTTAATACACTTAATAAAGTGATATGCAGAGAGGCCCGTGAACAATGTCTTTGTCTTACATGAGAACTCTAAACTCCTTTTGATACGTTCAAACAACGAAATATTCTGTCTCCTCCTCGTTTTATGAATTTACGAATTTTCTAAATCAAATGTTTGTAATTATCTTTCTGAAGGTATCAAAGAGTTCAACTAAACTGCGAGGAAAATAAAACGACGTCATTAAGTGGTGTATTTACTGAAATAATGAATGAATGAATGAAATATTCTTTATTGTACAAACACCATACAGTCAGAAAATTTACAGTAATAAGTTAATAATAAGTACAATCGGCGGCCTTATCGCTTAGACGCGATCTCTTCCAGGCAACCGTTACAAAAAGGAAAAAATAAATTATAATTGGGTAGGCTATGGCGTCTAAAAGAAGCTTTATTACCTACAATATGATATACAATACAATATACAAATAAATACTTACAAATTACAAAATATTAAATAATAATACATACATAATATAATGGAATACAAAAATACATTATTATAATCATGATATCAAAACTAATATAAATATATACATTTATCCTTTCTCGTCGTTTCTTTACCTGAAGAGTTGAAGGCATCCAAATATGCAACATTATCTGCACACAGAATTTTTTTATATAAAAATTTACGAGTATACAAAATTTATAAAAAGGTACATTTCATCCGATCGTGAAAATTGTTTCACCTACGAGAAGCTACATAATAAGTGGCGCGGGTGATATAGGCTATAATATATGCGAGCGAAGCCTCGGGAACAGTTAGTATATTGCAATCTACGATTAATTAAATAAAATAAGTATATATTTTCTTTATCCCTTTTGTGAGTCTCAAGGAAAGGAAAGATCAAATTTTAAACTATGCCATTTTTTACGATATTAATCCGTCTCCTATTCTTACTAATTTCTTACGAAGACTAAAAAAGAAACAAATTAAGTAGCTACAAATTATACATTATCACTACCAGAGCCCATAAATAAACATAAATTCATTTATTTTTCTTATAGAAAGATGCCCAATAATTCCACTTTGTTCCTGGCACTCTGAGGTGGGACGTCCCATTTATTAATATTTTTTTAGTATAGCATTGTGAATGCAAAATTAATCAAATATAATAATTAGAACAAGAGTTCATTTTTATCGAAAGTTAAGATATTTGGAAAATTTATTTCATTCGGCTGTTTGGGTGGATTGCCTGAACATTGATGAAAATACGCTCTGTAGTAACGAAAAAGTAACAAGTGCTTGAAAGATTCGTCAGTTCGTTGGGTTCTGGGCGGCTCAGTGGTTTGAGCAGTCGCCCGGTTTGCGAAAAGTCGTGTCCCATCACAAAGTGCCAGGGCGGCGGAATTTTTGGGCATTTTCCATTAAATACTTAATAGAAAATGCCCAAAAAATTTTTCAGTATAGCATTGTAACTTCAAAATTGATCAATAATCATTTATTTTACTTTTTTCTGTGATTTTACTTACATCCATCATTGTAAATGCAGTTGATCCGTCAAATTTTACAATCAAAAGCAACGTACACAACTATGCAATATTAAAGGCAATTGACCTAGTGAGGTCAAACAATGGATCGGCCCAGGTCATTGTTACGTGCTTTACTCAATTAGGTACACGACCGCAAGAGGTTAAATATCATAATAGCGATGTATGATTGGACTTCTATAAAATATATAGAATCAATAGAATCTCTACTACTTACATTTTTCCAAGATACTATCTATCTGAGGTCCAATATTATTATATATCTGTCACTGATATCATTGATGTGTAAGGAAAACGTTGCTCTAATAATATTAGTATTTAAGTAGATAGTATAATGGTAAAACGAAAGCCATTGAGATTCTATTGAATTGGCCTGCTGTGTAGTTTTACCGGCTTCAAAATCTAAAAGCATAACAGCTCCTACTGTACAATTCTGTTACAGGACAGTCTCAAACTCAACGTGGGCGCAACGCTGTCGAGTCATTGAGCTTCAGTGAAATAAAACCACCGTAATATGATTATTATTTATCATAATTTTAAAGAAGCTTTTTTAATTTTGTTCTCAAACAGTAATATTGTTTGTCTTTAAAATATTGAATAATATTTTATTATGTTTTAGACATAAATATCATACTTTGTAACCTTTGTTTGTAGATGTGTTGAATATTTATGAAAGTTGGTGATCATATACGAAAATTTATGTAAACCCATCAAAAGGCTGTATAAGCCAAAAAAAACTAAATTTCAATTAGTTTTGTACAAAAAATAACATCCAAATAATCTGCTTTTTATATAAATGAGAAAGTTACATCATATTTCTAAGAGCTTCCTTACATTTAAAACTGGATATTCCTTAAATTTATCATTTCTTTTCTTAATTTTTATCACAATATTATAAGATCTAGTTTTTTAATTAATAGTCAGCTAAAATTGGGCCACAAATTAAAATGAATATCTTTTCAAACATATCAACCGAAATAATTAATTAAAAGAAAAAATTAAGACCTTTTCTCGGAAATTCATTTTATATGACTTTTTAATGATATTTAAATGAGGCCTTACATTTAAAAGTAGGCCAAAAGATTATTTAACCTTTTCCTTAATTAAACAAACATTTGATTGGACCGTTGCAGACAAATTGACTTGACGTATTGTTGTGCTGGCTAGATCGGCCCGCCTATGAAATTTTGCACTACTGCATCTAAATGTAAATCTCTATGATTGCACTTAGTGCATTGAGCACATTTCACCAACGACCACCACTTATTCTCTATCTTTCATTTCCTTTTTTACTTTCTCTTACATACTACCTTGGTTTTAAATCGACGGTTGCAGAAAAAGTTTCCTGATTCCATCCTAGAAGGCCTTATAAGAACACTATCACTCAAAATAAAAAAGGAATAGAAAAAAAAAGTAATCATTTACCTGACTAGAAGGCCTCAAAACAAATGTCCCATCAGCATATCCCTTCAATAAGTTCTCGGCTTCCTCTCTGTCAATGTTCATGTAATAAGGTTCATTTTCCACCGGCACTGGTAGTGGACGGTCTGCCATATTACACGGCCTCTCGTTGCCGTCACGGCAGACTTTCTCATCGACGGGACGTCTATCATCATGCTCTTTGTCACCGTCCTGTTCGGTGTCGTATTCTTCGGATTGGTTCGCGTCGTTTGTTTCTGTAAATATAATAAGTATTTTATTAATGATCTGTAGCCATACGATCACTGATCCGCGAATTACATAGATTTTCTTGATTTAGTTACACAACAAAGAGTAAAAGTATTACACAATAAACCAGCTATAAACGGTAGAAAAAGCATAGAATACCAAATCTCCTCGACATTTCAAATCAGTGGAAGAGTAAGAGCTAAGTAATTCTAATGTTTAATCTTCTTATAAAGAAAGAGACAAGCGGTTGTCATTTTGCCAGATGTGAGCTTTCATAATTTTATTGATGGGAACCATCATACCAACTTACCTATCTACCTACTATCAGATTACTCAATTATAACCAGACAAATCGTTAAACATTAAGTTTTGAATGATATAGTAACTATCAAATGGCGAAATGAGAAAAAGCAGCGAATCATGATTTTCCTAGGCAGATCTTGTTCGGTCATTTTTGACGTTTCGCCTACGTCATACAGAATAAATTTGTAGTCTGTGCACAAACTTAATATTGTGAGTATTTTCTTCTTAGTCTGTGATATTGTGATCGTTACGAAGAATAATATTCACGTTTTTTCCTCTTTTAATAAAAAGGATGTCTATATATACTTTGCTACTTCAGATATACTTTCTGTAGAAGCAGATAAATAATCGTATTTTATCAATATACCTACAGTTTCTTTATTGCTATTGAAATAAACAAAGAAAGTTTAATAATTATAAATATAATTTGAAGATGAAATTTCGTAAATAGAATTTCTTTACAAATGTGTTCTATTCACGATATCCAATATCAGGAAAAACTAGAGCAATGAAATCTAAATTTCCTATATAATTACAAAGTTGTGCTCATTAAATATTATATCAAACGATATCAGATATTCATAGCAACCAGTTTTAATCAATTCAATGGTAGAATGATTTGCGTACCGATTTTATAGTGATATCTATGAAATTTTTTGATCGACTCAGAATGTTGATTTAGACTGTATTGTTTTTAATTTATTTGATGTTTCATTAAAACAGATTAACATGGATATTGATATACTTTTTCTAAATATATCATTTACTAAAATAAAAATCTCAATTAGACAGGAATAGATATATTACAAAATTGAGCCGTCTTTCAGTTATATAGTAGAGATTGACAAATAAAAACATTGTCTCCATTATAGAGCTTAAACAGCAAAAAATTTGTTAATTCAATCAAAAATCTCTCGATCTTAGCATTCGTAAATTTGAATTTACTTATTTAGTAAAAGATCCACAAATTGCTTTAATTCTGGAGAACTGAATAATACTATATACATAATGATTGTAAGTTTATTTAAAGTAATTACCATGCCAATTGCTTTAACAACGTATGGAAGAAATTAGTGAGAGAACAGCACATTGAAACCGCCTCTTCCCGCAAAGCTTGTCGTGGTATAACAATTTCTATACAGAATAAGGCACAATAACAATAATAATTATTAGGGCATGTATCCACATCGCAAGGCTGTTCGTGAGCGATTGTGAGCCTTCTAAAGCAGCAGCAAACACGTCTACCTCACCTTGCAACTAATGCTCTGCTCGTTTGAGCAATGCCTCGCAATGTCAATACACGCCTTTACTACAGTAATGATTTACTATAAAAAGTAGCTTGCTTGCATAGTGGATAAGCGCCGCGGCCCGCGATCGTTGTTGTTAAAAATCTTATCAAGTGTCGGTCACGGGATGGGTGGCCAAAAAATTATTATCTCTAGCTACTTCGTTCTCCGGAAGACCGAAACTTTGGTACCTGCTGCATTTACAGTAGTTAATACCCTCCAATCCGCATTAGAGGATCATGGCCCATCCTCCTTAACCATCCAGAAGGAAGGGGTCCCTGCAGTGGGAACGTAAAAGGGCTGATGATGATAAATTTACTATGGCACAAATACTTTGATCCTAATATTACGTTAGAATTAGTTATTTAAAACTTACATACTCGATGCATAAAATAAATATTAATATCAATTTATTTAATTCATGCCAAACTTGAAAAAAGCTTTAGTAACCAATATATTTCTAATAATACTCGGAATACGGAATTAACTTTTTATTTTCAATCTTCTCTGGAGTTATCAAAGTGTATTTTTCACTGGGAATCAATACTATAGTTTCCATTGCATAAATGTCATCTTGATTGATTACACAATACTAAATTTATATTTTATAGAATCCTATTAATAATTAGTACTTTTAATTAGGTAAGCATTAAACACTGTTATCGAGCTCCGCCGTTTTGTAAGTGTGTGTAGGTTTATAAGGTAAAAATCTCACCTGTTATAACATCCGTGAAGCAATGCAATGTGCTGTACAGAAAATCCAAAAGACTGTTTCCCAAACGAGCTCCTAGATTATAGATCAGAGGCACACTCACTGTCACCAACCAACACATTGTATTCTACACCACGGTTCACATGTTTCATTCATTCGCGATAAATCTTGAGGGGGCACTTTCGACCCGCGAAAAGTTCTTTTAAAAAGTACTATTGCTTTTCTTTTTTAAATACACTAATCATTTTGTATCAAAACTCACTAAGTTATTTTGCGAACTGACACATAAAAAATATTGTTTGTTGTAAAATGTGCCCAATAATAAAATATAAATAATATATTTAAATGATGGCCCCATTGAAATACATTATTTGTATTTTATTTTTTACGCTAAAACCATATTGTTTTAGCGGATTTTGAAAAAAGACCACTAGATATCAATTTCGTATCTAATAACTGAAACTAATCATTATTACTCTTTAATGTGATTATAGGAAAGTTTTATAAGAAATCCTATTTACAATATAACTTACATATATAATGAAAACAGGTTTAGAAAATGAGGTTTACCTAACACAAAAAATTTAACCTTTGTCTGTGTCCTTGACATTATTTATTATCATGAGTTTGATCTCTCAACCTTTCAAAGCGTGTGCTCTTACCCCGTTATCTTTGATTTGCCACGCCTAAAACCACTCTGCTACAATTAACAGTAATTACAATTAATATAAACTAAATTCTCGCGTAGACATATACTGAGAATGATTGAACAAGATACATTAAACTAATTGTCACCGAATCACTGACTCATAGCTGACTCACAGTCACCCCCATAAATCCACCATTTGTCACGCAAGACGATTTTAGAAAGAACACCTAAGAAAACACAAGAATTTGCTTTCTCCCTTCCCCTACTGCTTCTTAAGGAAAACTTTATATAATTTTTACAAAAGGAACAACTTTATGCAAATCTATTTTATATGTATTCTTATCTTACGCGCGTTTCCACACACTACACTTTTGTTCATTGGTTGTAAAACAGCCGTATTTAGTTTTCAATAATTATTTCTTACAATAGTAACACATAAAAGCAACCGAATTCTGAGAAAGTTTTACAGAGAATCAACAATAAAATATTCCTATGATAGTGTAAAAAGTAATTATGCAATTTAGAATTTAAAATAAAAATGTAAACGTGGAAATCAATCATAGCAAAAGATTGAATATGAAATCTGTGAGTAAAAACAACGATTTTCTACAATAAATAACAACACATTTTAAAACATTGAACAACCGCACAAATATTAGTCTCTTAACACAAACAAAACAAAGAAAAGCTTTTTTCAAATAAATATCTGCTTCACCAATAATAATAGATTGTACTACAACTATGACGAACTTTACTTTCACACTGAAGTTCTACTGCAGGAACTCGCGATCGTTTCATTGTCATATATTTTATTTTGAAAATATTCCTATTCATAGGGACGTCAAAATATTTGTAAGTTATCGTTAAAATGATGTGTATTCAGTTTCCTTTGTGCACGTCTTATTTCGACAACGAAGACGAACAATTTTTCAAAACTAACAAATAAAAAGTTTTATTGGCCTTCACATTTTAAGTATTGCAACATTATAGAAAAATATTAATTACAAATGATCATATGTTTTATAAAGAACATTATTAAAATTTATAAAAAATTACAAATTATACGTATTCTAGTATATAGATGTAAATATTCATAAAATTATCATATAGGTACGATTTTAAACCAAACAACTTTATATTTTCTACAAATATCACATAAAACACCATGATTTCATAACATCGATATCGGTATCGTTATATTCACATCACCACACGTGGTGAACACATGGGAGTACGCCCAATAAAAAGTAAAAAACCAATCATGAGAAAGTGAATGTAATATAATTAACTTCACTTGTTATCAACAATTCTTTCCCTTATGAGGTCAGTAAAGAAACACTTACTTCTTATATATATAATTTTAAGGACTTTTTACTCCGTATCGTACTTTATAATACTTTATCTACATTCAAATCGAAAAATTCTAAGTACGAATTCAAAGACGATTCTATACATACGCACTTTATAAACGCATATACATAAAATAAAAATAAAACTCATTACAGTACCACCATCTTTTTTTACTCATTAAACTAGTCTATGATTTAGGCTGAATATGAAAAAAGGCGCACGCATGCGCAGTTCCAATTGTGAAAAAAATGGCGCACGCATAAACTACTTCCTTGTCACCTACCTACTTTGTTTAATTTCTATTTTTCCTATGAGTGAAGATGAAGTAGTGTATGAAACTGCATATAACTTAGGTATTAAAACACTCGAGTCAACGTATTATCGCATTTGGCTTCGCCTCATGCGATAAACAAACTCTCGTGTTTTTATAACCCCATCTTATATGACAGTTGCATAAACTACTATTACCGCAACATCTACTACAAATAATAATACATTAAAACTTGACTTTATCAAAAATACGAGTTGGTTGGCGAGCTTAACGTGCCTTCCAATTCAAGGAGAAGCTATACATTTTATGACAGGCACTTGCAAAAATTGATTAGACTTTGCACTGCGCCAACAAGCTCTAATATCTATACTAGAACTAGTGAATAATGCTTCAGTATTGCATTTGCGTTTGGTAACATAAGTGCCTATTTCATTATCAAGACAATTATTTTTTTAAAGTTAAAGACCTACAGTCACCAAACGGACCTAAATAGAACAATGACTCTTGTTTCTGACAGCACTTAATAAGATTAAAAATAACAACATGAATGAAAACAAAGGTTCAATTAGTTTTTTTTTTTTTTATGTTCGTATTGTCGATAGCTTTCCCAGACTCATTGAATTTAGTAGTGTTTTAAATTATTTTGATTGTTTTTTTAATTATATTTTTTATTATGGTTTTTTAAATAATATTGTCTTATCTTTTGCTTTATAAAACATAACAGATATCTACTATATTTTGTATTTACTTTTAATTTAATGTAAAAACGCCATCTTTAAAAATGTTTGTACATTCAACGTAATGTTCATATCGGCACCCCATAGTCAAGCAAAGCAAAATATTTTTGCTTGCAACGAGCAGATAATTAAAAATCCGACCTGTAATCCCTAAAAGGCCCTTTTATTTTAAGCCCGAAGCATTTTCTTAAATAAGTTACCAAATCAAGTATTGGATTTTTTGACCTCAATTAAACAACCATCTTTAAAAGAAATCCGAGACCTCATTATGCTTCCAATAAATATAAAATTCAGATTAACTACGAAAACTCTGGAAATATTGAACAATATTTATTAATCCAATAATTCGAAGGCGTATTCTGTATTTTAACGATGGGTCCGTGGGGCCCTGGAGCCCATCGTCTTCATCAAGAGTTAAAAAAGAAAGTTTTCGACAGGTCAGGTGATCAGAAGGCTGGTTTCCACCTCGCCCGAATAATTAGTTTAGCTATTCAAAGAGGAAACGCTCGCAGCCTTCTGGGTACCTTACCTGTAGGCAATGATCTGGGAGACATTTTTTATTTAGTATAGTTATTATTTTAAGACATAGTTTAGATAAGTAGTATTTTTGTATATCATTGTTCTGAATTACTGTATTTTGTATATTTACATTTTATATTCTTAGAAATATTCTTTGTGAATTACTTTATTGATTGATTCGGTTGTGCTGGGACGTAACATTATAAAACGAATAGCTAATCTAAAATTCCCCAGATGACATACAAACTGTTAAATATAATACTAATCAAAGGGATCCCACTAAAGAACATATTATGGGTAAGTGTTATAAACAGCAGAATATGGACTATAGTAAATTCATCGTCATCATCAGCCCTTTTACTTCCCCACTGCAGGTGCTCACGCCTTCCTTGTGGGTGGTTAAGAAGGATATCCATCCTCCTTATCGCTCAGTAAAATAAATTAAAGATAAATTACAAGAAAAACAAAACAAAGGAATAGTAATAAATAACATAATAATAATAATAGAATAGACAGTACCAGCAATAAACAATAAAACGCGACAAAGTGATAAAAAGTTCAAATTTTAAAAAATATATAAAAAACACCTACCTAAAGAGGCTGGCAAAGCTGTCATCAACAGTAGTAGGTATTATACTTATTAAACAAAAGAACATCTGGCGCAAACAACGCCACTTATAAAGCACAATAATAAAAGCTTAAACGAGAAGTACTCTAAAGTTATAATCGCTCTGAAACCCAAAAGAGACTACAATAAAACTATCTCCGTCCTTTGTGGAAGCCAATAAAACTTTGGCAAACGTAAAATAAGGCCGCGATATTAATGATCGCAGTCCATTACACCGCCACCGTTTTTAGACGAGCTGACAACAAATATTGATAAATAAAATATGAACGAACAGATGTCATATGCTATTAGTTACTTATCCTTAAGATTAAGGGAAACTTAAAAAAAAACTCTAAATTTCCGTCTTTTCCCTAAAAGTGGCTATTAGATAATATTATGTACTTATCTAGCAGTTTGTCTGGTGATATAATGCAGAATCATGTAATAGATTGCAACAAGCAACAACAATGAAAGTATGGAAAAATAAACGCACTTTAATATTTCTTCTCAATCTCAAAAAAATCTTTTTCGTTTTCTAATATTTTCTAGTCTTTGTATTTGTTTATTGTTTTCATTCAGAGGCTGACTTTGCATAAACACCACGGAACTTCTAGCAATAAATAATTTTTATCGCGTATGAAAACTACTCAACAACCAAAAAACGTGCCTATAATAGACACATACATCGATGGTTTTTTTACGGTCAATTCGCCGCTGATCGGATCACTGTGATTGCTATTTGGGGTGTTTCATTGTAGATAGCGGTGCAATGAACGGCGACCATTATGTTAGAGATAAGAAAAATAAATAACCCTACGATTTAAGTTGTGCTGAATAAATCGTTTGCATTTTAGCGTTATTTCTATTTTTGTTTTAAACGACAATAAATACGGAGTATTCTTTGCGATCTTTCAAACGATATTCTGATAAAAAAACTGTTTCTAATTTTTGTTAAGCTAAGGCCAAAATTCTCTTTATTCGAAATATTAGTACAACTTATTTGAATAGTTCACTGTTATAATAGTTAACTTCTTTTTGGTACTCATTTGTAATGGTTCAGATTGTAACTAAACCTTCTATTTCTGCTGTTTTGTAATAAATTAACAAAATTGCGATACCCATACGTTGTAATTATAATAGACTCAATATATGTAACATAAAGGCAAATTTATTTATTTAACAAATTCAAAATTCGCGAAGTGGCTACCTAAAGCAAGATGACAATGACAGAAGAAAAAACGTCAAATTGACACATAATGACTTGATTTGGTCCTTCATTTTATAATTAGACGGAATCAATTTAATTCCCTTTAGTAGTTAATATTATACCAAAAACTTTGCAGTGTTACATAATTACTGCGAGTATTTATATACCACACCACTTCGAAAGATGGCGACAAACTGAAGTGGAGTCATTTGTAGAAAACTGTTATTGCAAGAAGGGGGCACCCTAACCCGCAAAGACCAGCTCTATTTCGCACCATTTAAATGGATATTTATTTTGAATACAATCAACTGCTTCACTTTATTAGAGAATTGCTCTTATAGGCCGGAGAGACTCACGCCGAAAAGTGTCGCCGAGCCTTCTTGGCGACAAGACATATAAAAGAATGAGAAGGAGAGAAACATAAAATATCAAATTTACCAGACTAGGGTGTTCTCGGGGCTTCTCGGCATGAGTCTGTCCGGCCTATAGCGAAATACTAAGAAAGCGTATTTGAGTCGACCGAACGGTAGCCTGAGTCAGTCTGCTTGGCTAACCGGCGCGAGTTGTAAATTGATATTTACCAAGAAATTTCATACAACAGATAGAAATGGCAAATGGAAATGTTGGAAGTCAAAATCTACGTTATATTAAAGGAATAAGTAAGAAAATGAAAATACTTCCTCACCTCTTCTAAGGCCAAAGCGGCTTTCAAAGATACTTATGATATACCCAATAAGAGACTCATCCTTCTGTTTGATGTTCACGTCACAATAGTCTTTACAAAGCACCACCGGCTCCAAATAGTCCTCTACTGGAAGATTGACCTAAAACAATAACATTGTAATAATAGTATTGTCATTATAAGATCATAGTTTTATTTTTCTTCTTTAATTCTTTTTTAAATATCTTTATTCAAGTAAGCTTGTTTCAAGCACTTTTGAATCGTCCAAAATCATTTTTTTTCCTATAACTTGTTCAGGACATCTTTTAGCTAACAAGAAGAACAAGCGAAAGAAACTTACCAGCTTTTTATCAAAAGTAATGACACTAACATAAATCATGTCTTTACTAAAATAGTATGTATTATCACAATAATAAATACAACTTTCAAAGTCTGTATGACATAGGTTGGAACATATAATTAGTCGTTATAGAACAAAGCTAAGGCTATTAATACCATGCATTGCGGTGGTTAAAATAATCATCAACTTTATAATAGCCTTTACTCATAAGTATGTTCTTTATATGAATTTGTATTTATTTATGGGTAGGTCAATTACATTTTGTGGAACTTTATTGAACATATCAATGCATTTACCCAGATGTGATCCTCTGGTTTTTTGAAGTCTGAAGTTTGGAACGGCAAAGTTTTTTATTTCTTGTGTTAAGACTATGAACAATACTTTTTTGTGAAGGAATTGTAATGTTTTCTATTATATCATATCTGCTAATGACATGGTTTTTGTGAATGCCATTACTCCCTATAGAAATGGTGAGTTATATTGCTCATTTTTCTTAATAGCCAAAAGACTTCTTGAACAAGTGGTAGGGAAAAAATGTTCGTCTATTTAAAAGTACTTTTGAATAAAGATTATTTTGACGCTGACTTTATCTACTTATGAAATCTGAGCAAAGTATGTGATGTTGTCTAATATTTATTTATTAAGTAACCTTACTCCATAGTATTACATATTACCTAAAGATAAATTTATTATTACGAGTATATTAAAGAAAGCTACTTACTTGTTTTATTTTGCTACAATCAACTTCACTTAGTCTTTTTGTCACTAAAACTGAATCATACATATTGCTAGCCGCATCACCGTTCTCGTAAAGATGACTTACATTATCTTTATCGACGTTTTCAATTTTTTTATCTCTTTCTACTGATACTTCCGGTTTTTTAAAAAAGGGTATTTTAAAAGATTGGAAAAGTTCCTGCAGCTTCACCATACATGGTTTAACATGAGCAACTTGTTTGAACTCACTTTCATTTATTTCTTCATTCTTACTAACGTCATTATAGCATAAGTCTTCATAAAAGTGATCTTCCGGGAGTTTTTCAATTATTTCTTCGGCAGCAGGCAGAGATTTATATTTCGTTCTCGAGTCTTGTGTCTTAGTAATTTTTTGAATATAGTATCTAGTGTTAGTTTTAACGGAATAGTACCCTCTATCTTCCAAGTTTTCGTGTTTTGAAAATCTTGATAGAATATCAAAATTTGGATACTCGTATGAACTCAATCTGAAAAATTTTTTTGGTTTCTTTGTTCCAACATCCATAGGAAGATAAGACGGTATATTTTTCTCTGCTCGATTTGTATAATTTCTATAGAGAAAGCTTTTGGGTGGCACTAGTTTTTTTAATAAGTCTTCAACGCTCATCATAGATGAAGCTGCCAGTTCCGATTTAGTTTTTTTTACAGTCTGATACTGACATTCGACAGGAACTTCATTGCATTTATCCATAGTTTCACTTAGATATTTTTCAGGGTTATTTTTCAAATCTTCTATAAATGAAATTATTTTTTTCGCATTCACTCTAGGCCGCCATAGCTTAACGATTCCTTCAGTGACGTCCTGAAAATTACAACGCAAATAAATTTTGGTACTTGCATAATTTGTGGAGTTATGTGAAATTGGAAAATGTGTTTTATGTCTTCCGCATAAGAATAATATTGCGAGTGGAAGAAAATGTGCTCTAACTAATGGTTTAAATTAAAAAAGTTTGTTTGTGGGGCGCTTTGGAGTAGTTTTAGTGGCGAATTCACTCGGTACGCTATGAGCTAGTCAAGACTGAGTTTATCGATTTAACAGTGTAACGAACGAGCTCATCGGAAAAGTTTTTCGAATTATACAGCCGTGCTCGTTTCGCTGACAAGTTTTTGAAGCATAATATCCTCATTATTTTCTATGAAAGAAATTTCCATCTCTGTATACGCATGATGTGAAGTTTTCGCCAAAGTTATATTGCGAAGTCGTTGAAAACATTTTATTGAAGAACAAATGACAATTTCATTGCCATGGTATATGTAAGGAAAACTTACGTATATAAAATATTAACATCAATTTGTTATTAAGTCTTAGGGCCTAAGATCATACAATAATAACTGGATTTCATTAAAAGCAACATTCAGTCAAGTAAAAATAATCCTGTTTTTCTTAAAATTCCATAACAAACGATGAACTAAATTAAAAAGTGGTGAACATCGTACAATTTTATCGAAATTAAATAGTTCGCGGTGGATTGAACTCTACAGCAATCAGGATTTAGGCCGTTCAACATCGTAACTTGCAACCACTAGGCTCTTGGTGCGTTACTAATAAAATATCACAAGACAAACAGAGGTCCCTTCATTAAAACTTGGAGCTCTACAACAATTTCAGGGAAGTTTAATCCCCACTTATGAGGGGAATAGTTTGAACATAGTGGATGCACTTAATACCAGTAGGTTTTATTCACACCTTATTATTTTAATATTGGGTAAGATGGAAAAGCGACTCTCTATTAAAAAACATAAAATTTAACTTTAATGCTTCGGCGATTCCAATTGTGACTACAAACATTCATTGTCAGCCCTTATACGTCCCCGCTGCCTTATGGGTGGTTAAGGAAGATGGGCCATGACTCTTTCCCAAGTCGGATTAGAGGGTATTAATGACTACAAATGTAACCGGGACCAACGGCTTAACTTGCCATCCACAGCACGGAGTAGCTCGACATAATATATTTTTGGTCACCAAAACCTTGCGAAAGTTGCTTGACAATAATAATTATGGGCCGCGAGGCTTATTCATTTCGCCACTGAGCTACTCTAACTACAATCATTAGCAGCCACATATCAGAACTAGGTCTATGTGGTGGATTAGGTATAATCCGTTATCTCTGTGTTTTTTCCACGAGGAAGGTCTTTTCCATATTTTATTACTATGATCATACTATTCAGGTAAAACAATCTAGTAGTTTGGGGACTATTACTAGTACTCTGAATTCATCGTATTTGTTCTACTCTACGATATTAAAAATATATAAGTTAGCGCAGCATAGGCGACGAAACAGTATAACAAGTCTCAATTTTTGAGTGCAGTTTGTCGTTCTTATTTTGAATAAAAACTTGACCTACCATAGCATAACTCACTGTGGAACTACGCAAGTAGAATGAAACTAAAAGTTTTGGAACATCTTAAGAGTTGTCTTGAGTTGGGCCGTCGTTGGGCTGTGTTGGAATTCACGGAACCTGATCACATCTCATTGTTATTTCGGTAAGCAGTTAAAGACAAGACTAACTGGGAGACCCCTTAAATCAAGACGAAAAAACTATTTGCTTTGCGCTGGCCTGTATGTTTCACCGTAACTACATTGACTTAGATTTGGCTGGCATTGAGTTCAATCAAAATACACTCACAGTTCAATACTGTTCAATCACATGCATTCAACGTTCATATTGTTATTACTTTTACCTATTTTATTTAAGCTACACTTCGACACTAGAATTGAACATATTAACTTGATTCAAAAGAAAATCTGTATTCATCAAAATGAGCAGCAACTGAATTTTATCATATAATTTTGTGATGTTTACAAACTGGTTTGTTTTTTTTTTATCTATGAAGCAATTCAAAAAACCCTGAAAATTCTTAGCGTCCTATTATAAAAAGGCACTACTTTAGCACAATATTTTAACCATTATCCTACCAAAATAAGTCAACACGTCTCAATCTGTCATTGTCGATTTGTTTTAGGTGGACAATGGTTTAAACCAAATACTAACTTTAGACTTTTTAGACTTTACCGTTTTATAATAAAACGATAAAGTCAAAAAGCACATTTCGCTAATATACAACAACAAAAATAACATAATACTTACTAATAATTTCCTCCCATCCACTTTCTTTTCCCATACAAACTCCACGAACTCGTCTAGCTCATTATTTCTCAATAATTCAACGACATTTTGGATTTCTAAATCTTCCAGTTTTGAAATCATATTTTAGTATTTAGCACCTAAATTGTTGATAAAAAACATATATGAATATATGAAAAAAAGAGAAGGGAAGAAAAAAAATAAATGTATGGTTTCTTTAAATTAAAAAGTATACGATGTTTTCTTTAAATTAATCTATAAATCTAACGATACCTTACATCAAATGAGAGAAATTTTACGAACGTGCTATGCTAATTAAAATTAAATTCAGCAATATTTCCCGGTATTAGTGTAAATTCGATTTAATTTTCCGATCTCGCTCGTTTAAATTGTTCGATTAACATTTTAGTTTTTTTGCAACCGCCTTGTTAATTCCTAACCTTTTTTTGATAACACGGGAAATGCACCTTAAGTCTTAAACCAGGGCTCTCCGACTCCGCATCCACTTTGAAAAGGACAGGCTTAAGCAGGGTCGGCCTACCTGGTAAAACCCGCTGCGTTTGCCAGGTCCAGCCCCACTGATAATTTTTAACCTAGTATAATGGCTAAGATGAAACAATTGATTGTTTTAGTATTGTTCTATAAGTTAAGATGGTTTTATCAACTATAGTGCCGGAGAACTGGAAAATCATTACATGGGTCTTAAGTTCGGCTAACGTTTGGTTCGCCACCTTTTTTATTTCTGCTCGTAATTAGTATATACTCTTCACTATTCTCTGTTTCTATCAAATTGGGGCTGTCTTTTGTTTTTATGCCCAATCTAAGAACAGCGTTCATAAGGTTCAGGGTAAATTGGCATCAGTATACGACCACACCTACCAACTGAACATCGCTATGATTTGTACATTACAATTTCAAAGAACTTTTTTTATATAATAATTGCAATAACAAGAAAGAGGTATGAAGGAAAAAAAGCCCCGCAAAAAGATAGGTCAAAAAATCAACACCCGAGCAATAAAAAAAAAGTGAAAAAAAGCAATGTAAAATCACGCAAAAATATACGATATCACGAACCAACGATCAAAACAATATTTATGTACCTCAGTCATAAAACTATAATGGGTACCATTCAAAATCATAACCCTCCTTTTTTACTTTTAAAATGAGGACACATCGGATAATAATCTATGGTAAACGCAATAATCGCTGTTCTGCCTAAAACAGGAACGTGTTGACTCACCCCTGATAAAATGTTTGCCTTGCCTAACTTGTAACGGTACACCAGGGATTTATAAGTTTACTCTCATGGTCATATAAGATTTTGGTTTGTGTGTATTGCAAAGATATTGAAAGATATTGAAGTACTACAGTTTGTTGTATTTGATTTAGAATAATTCACTATTATTTCAAATCGGACAAGTTTGAAGACAGGAACTCCGCTTCCAACTCCTTGAAGACCACGTTTCATTTTTTAATTTGCTATTATACTTTTTTAAATTATTTTTCACTAAACAACGGATTACAAAACAATATTGTTTAAGTTTACTTTCACTCTAAAGGACACAACTTGAATTGCCTATTTCTTTCTACCAGCTTTAAGATTTCTTTTTACAACATGATTGACAATATTGGAATGATTCAATTACAACACTTTGTTTGCGAAGTTATTACGAAGCGTTTTTCTTTAAAAACATATTTTTATTTCATTTAATATTTCGTTATCTTTGAAAATAATTTATAACATCACCTATATATTATTAACTGTATTGAAAAATACCTGTATGTATTAAAATAAATATTTTTGATTCAAAGACTTTTTAAGTGATGAAAATATTATTATAATATTATTTGCTTTATCATCTATTTTGAATAAAAGATATATTTTTTTTAATTTTACCACTGTTTAACACTTATAAAATATTTCACTTTTCACTAACGGAATGTTCCGAACACTGAGTTCGCCTGTGCGCGAGTGCTGTATGATCTCTGGACATCATTTAATTGGCTTGATTAGCTCATCGTCTTTATTGAGTAGGTACTGAGAATAGCTTGTCAACTGGTCCTAACAAGTGAACGTGCAAATATCCATTATATATGGATTCCCAACAAAGCACACAGAAGTCTGGTTCCCAATTCACATATGGAAATCGGGCACCGGTAGCATAACGATGATATTAAAATTGTCTAGATATATATGATGTAATATTGAAAATTTTATTTTCTCCGAATATAGAAATAAATTCAGTTTACCAGCAGGCCTAGCGCGTTGTATTGGCATCGGTTTTTCAATATAAAAATAAAAATAAATTAACGGTGCCTGTCATTAGACTGAAAAAAGCTAATAACTCGTTTAAGGGTCTTTGTGTGCGCTTCTACAATAAGGTCCCAAGCAAAATACAACAATTAGATATCATGCAGTTTAAATCTACTATTAAAAAAATACTCATTAAAAAAGCTTATTATAAGGTATCCGATTATATAACAGATAAGAACGCTTGGACTTGAGATGATCCAACAACTGGATAGGTGATTACTTCTAAACTCATTATCTTGTTTCCATTATTATTAAATGATTATGTTATCATTACATGACCATAGTTTTTTTTTCTATCTCTCTTTATAATGTATTGATCTGGTAATGACATGGTTTTTGTAAATGTCATTACTCTTATTAGAGCTGGTGAGTTTCTTGCTCGTTCTTCTTATCAGCCAAAAGACATCTTGAACGAGTGGTAGGGAAAAAATGTTGGACGATTCAAAAGTACTTTTAAGAAGTCTATTTGAATAAGGATTAATTTAACTTTTGACTTTTATTGAACGTCAAATGTCGAAATCAAACCTGATCAAAGTCAAATATTCTTCAGTCAACATGGCAGCATTGAAATAACCTTTATAAATTAACAGCTGTTGTGAATTAGTGAAGTCTGCACCTGTAGGTACCAGTGGTGACCACTGTTTGGTATCGCACCATGACCATTTTCATGGTGCGACACCATGAAAATGAGCCACAAAAATCACTCGCATCCCACATGCAAGTCTCCATATCCATCCACAGTGATTTTTACCTCGACACAGCAAGAGACGAACCTTTTAACCCTATCCAAAGTGAAATTCCCTACTCTGTGTTTATAACACGTTGATTAAAATTTTAGCACTTACGCTTGACACCACATCTATTGACGGTCTAACTTCATAATTGGTTCACATTACATAGATGAGTGTCGATTCGACCCTTAGATGATTACCGTTTGTACGGAGACTGTGGCTACTGTTAATATAGGCTTATCCTTTTGTCAGCCAGACTCTTATGCCTGAACCCCTCGATTATACATTTAATATCCAAAATGTTCTTATTATTTTTATTTTATTAACTAAACACAATACACAAAAATATATTTTTAACCTATTGGTTCCAAAAATGTTTTTGGCCACAGATCCTGACGTCAATTATTATGAAAAATATGAGGATGCTATGCAATTTAGAGTCTGAGTTACACCTGAAAAATTATTTATTGAACCTGCTCAAGCTTATCATAAAGTTTATTTTCTGTAAGTTTTGCTTTCGTATTTGGTAAAATAAACTTTATACATTTCGTTTTTCAATGTCGTAACAGCGCATCGCTCGATATTGAGTGCGATGCTATTAAAAACAAAACAGCACTGCTAATCATAACTTATAAAAGAGTATTGTTTACATTCTTATAGTTATTTTTACGTAGTCTACAAACAATACAAAATCCAAAAATATTAATCAAATTATTTCTTTTTATTAACCCAAAAATTTACGAATATTCGCAACATATCGAACAATTGACGAATCACAAATTTTCGACATAAGCTCCACTGAGCGAATTAATAGCGTGTGATATAGAACCCATTAAGCAAGTTTGTTCAGGGTTGTTAGCAAACTCTGCCACCGCCCGGCCACAGGTCCTGACGTCATATTCTATTACACTAATCCCCAGAGGCAAACACGCTCACATAATTGTCCTGGCACCTTAAACTGTTGTATTCTAATTTGCCCGATATCTACAGTCATGATCATTTTCTAGATTGCTCTAGATAATGAGTGACTTAGGGGCATTATTTAAATTTTATTTCCTACTGCCACACACTCAGTATTGGATCGTTTTTACTCTGGTTTCACTTTCATATTAGTTCTCACTAATGCTGCTTTTCGTATTTTGATTACTCATACTATTTCTTTTGTGCATTCATCTCTTTCATTTCTTTAACGACTGGGTTTGCCTTCAATCTTATTTTTTCCTTGATTAATTATAATTTTTTTGAGATCGTAACATTTTCATGTACATTTCTATTTTGTTCTTGTACATTTGTAATTTTACATTTATATTTATCTTATTTATATGCTAATTATAATGTCATTATTTACTGTTTTACATAAAGCTTTATAATTTAAATAATACGACATAATATTAAGCATTCTGTCTACGATGCGGAAGTCGAGAGACACTCGCAAAGGCTTCTCATAAGTTAGGTGAACAAAATTTATAATAAGCCGTTGATCCCAGCTGCATCTGCTGTCGTTACCCATTAATCCCAACTGAGCAAAGAGTTAAAGTATATGAGCCCTGTCGCAAGCCATGTCGCAGAATGTTTCGATAAATAGGCAAATTGTTTATGGAGGTATATTAGAAATAGAAAATATAAAAGATCTTAACTTATAGTACAGAATCCTAATATATTATTAAATCTGTCGTTTACAAGACTACAGAAAAAAAATGAGTGTTTTATGTTCAGAGTCATTTATGTGTGTATATGACAATCCGGGCGACTGCCGCCTAGACTGCGAAAGGTCATGAGTTCGAGTCCCATCTCATAGTACCTGAGGCTGTTAGATTTTTAAATTTTAAACATTTTTATCAAAAATATTTTTTGTATAACTCTTTAAATGCTAAACTGATCAAATATAATAATTAAAGGATATCATTACAAACATTACATTATCTCGAATGACTCCGGCTACATGTTTATATATTAGATGTAGCATATGTATGACGCAATCAAAATAAATAAAAAACACGAACCGAACTTGACTTCGAAGTTGTCTTATAGCTTGGTTAAACAAAATTCACATTGCAGTCCAGGATCCCCTTTGTGGAACATTTTGTAGTCTAAGAGATCGTTTATTTTTTAGTTCGTTTAAGGTTTAAGCAGTCATGTTTTTTTAGTATTTGTTATAACATTTCATACAGCCTAGTGACAGAAAGACGGACAGCGGAGTCTTAGTACCTTTAGTTACAAAAGCCTAAAACAGATTATACTACTTTTAACATAATAAAAATAATCGTTTTATTTCTGTCACAATAGCTACAAACGTTCTTCTAAGATATAATTACAATAGGTTCAAAGCTTATTTTATTAATTATAACCATCGTAAGAGAGTGAAACCTGTACTAAGTTTATCTGTGATATTGCAGTTATGGATTAAATATTGTGAAATAGTACAAAATTAAATCATCTGTGAGTAAGTATTATTTAATTTTTTTATCAGAGTTACATGATAAACAGGAATATTCGATAAGATCGATTATTATTATTTTTTCTTCTGTAAAAACAAGCACGTTGTTAATAATATAATAACTTAATACACTTTATTAATTTACAAGTCTTACAATTATCTCGTTATCGAACTTATAATTGTTTTTTTTAGTTTTATCATAATTCATAATAACGGTAATTGTTATAAATAGACAATCCACAATTCACATAAAAATTGTAATTTTGTCTTTTTTAGAAAATCACTTATTTATTCATCTATATCCTTGTTAAAACGTCATAAACTCTATGTGAGACTTCATTTCCAGCGAATCCAATGTAGCAACATTTATGGCTAGGGTGCACTTTTCCTGGGGTTACTGATAACTGGTATGTCGCTCTCCCAACGTACAAAGTTTCACCAGACACCGTGTGACCTCCAGCGATCGCTCCAGGAGGCACGCTCCCATTTGATGCAGGCACCCATCTTAAATTTTCAGGTCTGGCGCAGAGGACTTCAATATTTTGCACAGGTATCTCCTTACCATCGTACATAACTGAAGCTCTGTTATGTCTAACAGACAGCTTCCCAGGAATTAGCTCACCGGCATGCCATGACCTGATCACCCAAAGTGGACTACCATCCCACCCTTCATGGCCTCCGAGAACAGCTTTGCCGGTTAAACTATGAGCTGTTGTTGCAGTAGTCGGGACCCAATCGAAATCACCAGAATTTTCAACCACCTTAACTTGGTTTTCGATCGACGGTGCATTGGATGACTCTCCGTGGTAGTAATAATTGGTAATATAAGTAGGTTGTGGAGGAGGGTCGCTGGTAGGTGGTGGGTACGGGGCTCCAACCGGTACTGGTATCATTACAGCTCCAGGGACGTAGTAAGGATACGGAGTTGGATGTGGATGACTTGGGTCTGAAGGGGGATAGTGTGGGGGATGTGGTAAAGGTGGAGGTGGTGGTGCCCAATGTGAATGGGCGTAATATGGTGGCGGATTATTACCGGACAAATGGCCTGGGTATTTACTCATTTTGCTCAAAGATATACACTGTACAAAATCACACTTACAATACAATCTGAGTTATCAGAACTGCGCCTCAGGTGTTGTGCCACGGTTTATATCAATTTTCAACTTACAATCTTATCATTAGTTGTCGATAACGATACGAAAAAGAAAAATATGAATCAGTGTTATTTGGAATAACACAATGAATAAATAGTGTAGTGAATTGATGATAATACAAATGACGTCACTTGTTTGCCCTTACTCGCGCCACCATACAATCCGTTATATTTTGTTTATAGTCTTATCAATTCAATAGAAATTGATCATTGAAAGGGGTATGTAGAATGTTAAATGACAAAGTCACATTTTAATATTTCAATTACTTAGCACTTCTGCGAGTTTTTAAACTCAATTATCATAGTCCAATATCGTACCTCTTAATTAAGAAAGAGCTCGACGGCGCCGTGGTTAGCGCGCTCGGTCTGCAATACGGTTGTTAAACAATGGTCAGTCATAGGTGACCAAAAATGTATTATCTCGAACTCCTTCGTGCTTCGGAAGACATGTTAAGCCGTTGGTCACGGCTGCTTCTGTCGTCGTTAATACCCACCAATCCACACTGGGCCCGCGTGGTAAGTCATGGCCCATCCTGTCTATTCTATTCCATTCATAGGGAAAGCCTGAGCTCCACCAGTAAGCTAATAAGCGGGTGATGCATTGAGAATCACAGAATTCATATTTTCACAATACATCATTAGTCTATTAATGTCACTTGCTTGAGACACAGACCTCTGTGAATCACCCAGGGACAATGGACCAATGAAAACAGACCAATCATATGGTATAACAGCGATTTCGCCTGCGTAATCCATTCATATCCAATCCGTTGGATAAAAAGTAGGTACCCTATGTTAACTCAGGCTTAGAATTATCCGTATACTCATTTTTATCAAAATCCGTTCAGTAGTTTTTACGTGAAAGTAATAAACAAACACCATTAGAAGAAGAGAAACAAACACAACCATCCTTACAAACTTTAGAGATTATAATATTATAATAGGGTTGCAAACTACTGATATCAAATTGAAAGATGTTAATACTTATTTTTGATTTATTACAAAATACAAGCTTACTAACTAAACAAAAGATATTAATCAAAATAAATTACTTATTTATGTTAATATTTGTACAAGACTTAATAACTAATACAGTTCGGATATCGTTATGTTTATATGTGAAAAAATATTCATTAATCATTGATAATGGACATCTGAAAACATAATTATGGAATCAATCTATTCAGAGAAAACTATGTTTCTAAACTGAATAATAAAATCGATGTCTTAAGTCTACCTTAAAATTTTAAATTAATTTAAGAAAAGAAGTATTCGGGACGAACATTTAATCTATTTCTCTGGTACAGGTTACAAGCGTAATAAAATGTTTTATTCATAATTCTATGAATTTGTTAAGTTAAATTTCGAAAGTTAAAATTGATTATATTTCATCAATATTGATATGTGTTTATCTTTACTTGTGATAGGTAAGTTTTTTACGCTTCTCACCAAAAAAATGTGAAAATTATGAGAAATAAAACTAGAAAGTTAAATCAATTTCGAAAATCGTTTGCCATTCTGCGTTTTGAGCACCATCATTAGCGTTTCGTTGTCTAAAACTGGCTGCCCATTTATTCATATTGAAATTTCGTGTAGTAAATAATATAGTTTAGCCAAATTTTATATGGCTACGGCCAAATTATCATATTGTCAAATCATATTTCAATTTTTTCATATCTATATGAAATAAACCCCTCAAAACGAGTACAAAAATAGCCCTTCTTTACAGTTATCAATATGAGCTCTCTTAACAAGATTTGATGGCTTAAAAGTAGGTACTTGTTAACAATCTAGACCGAACTGAAGCTTTGTTCATCTAATAATTTGATAATATTCTAATACATTCATATTTTCCTAAGGCCATTAGCCACGTTGCCAAAATTTCTTTAAATAAATGTGTTCAGCAAAAATATCTTGGTTTAAAGCAATTTACGCCTTTCGATAATAGTGGTTCACTATTACGTGAGTACTACCGCCCTGAATACACAGCGGTTTCCATCCATGAGTGCAGGCCACACAAACGACTTGATCAGATCCGAGCGTCGCTCACGGGACTCCCCTACTGAGTACCGTACGTGTTTCTCCGGGTTCATCACCACTGGAATCGGAAAACGCATAATTTAGTAACTTTATTAAAACAAGACTAGTGCATAGGCATTAATAAAAAATGAAGGAAACAATTAAGTACATAATCTCAGCCTATTCAACCTTATTTGTAGCTATTATAATAATCACTTATAAAAGAAAGAATATGTATAATGATATAATCTTTAAATTGGCAAGTACAATTTGATTAAATATGTGAATTAAGAGGTGTTTTTTTTATGTTTGTCAAATTGTGCGGATATTTGCCGGTTGCGCACATTACATGACTGGTCGCTTTTCGAATATTAATTTATACCATTTTTTTTTATTAATCAAAGACAGAATTACATAAATCAGCTAGTATATACATATATGTCACAGCCAACTGTTTAAGTTAGCCGTCCAATTCTGTGATTAGCCGTTTGGTAGAATGGCGCCATTCAATAACACTCCTAGTTTTCTAGCCGAATCATTATGGCAATTGGACCGTTCAAAAATGCGACTAATTTCGAAGCCGCCAAAATGTTAATTTAGCATATTTCTTAATTTAGTATATACCGGGCGTGAAGTCAGTGTCGATGCGTAGCGGCGGGGAATGCAGGCTTACGGCCCAGGCGGCACGACAGGCGGCCGCCACCAGCGCGTGTAGAGCCCCGCAACTACCAAGACACGGATACTCGCGCAGTGTACCCAGCACCTGCAGATGCGGGAAGAAACATTCATTAAACATTACACTTCTCAATTAGAAACTCGATTGAGCGTAGAGTCAAAGTTCGTTTAATTAAGGTTTTGTAACGGTTGATAAAGTACATCAATACTTAGCTAACAACAGTAACTAGGTAGCGTAGTAGATAAGCGCTGGGGTCCGTGATCATTGTTACTAAGCAACTTTCGATCAGTCACGCGATGGATGACCAAAAATCGCTATCTCGAGCTGCTCCGTGCTTCGGAAGGCATATTAAGTTTGTCCCAGCTACATTCGTTAATACTATCCGATACTTGCAGTCATTAATACTATCCGATCCGCTTTACTGTCTTAACTTAAATATGTTACTGTTTGTTTAACCGGTTCCAGCGGAAGATCAGCATTGATTACAACACAAGCATATGCTGAGCTGGAACTATTTTGGGGCAAAAAAAAATCTATCTTAATATGACTATATTTTATTAAGTTTTGTTGTCCCAAATAAGTGGATTTCATTGTTATTACTAAATAAATGTTTACCTGGCTGATGACAGTCCGCTCGGCTTCCCCTAAAGGGAAGCTGTGCGCTGTATCGTGCAATACACGGACGGCAGCCGACAGCAGCCGCGTGATATTGGGATCGTTCGAGCTGGACTCGTCGCCAGCGCCCAGCAGCGCCTTCACCTCGCTCAGTCGACGGTCGCGCAGACTGATCGCGGCGCGGAACGACAGCTATGAATGAATGGCATTGAATACTTTTTATTTTCTTCAAAACGGTTTACTACATTGCATTTAGTAATCCCATCAAAAACAAAACGCGTACATAAATACTCAAGTCTCACAACGCAATTCTATTGCCGTAAAAAGTCATGAAATTAATGTAAATCAAGTCGATTAATTCAGTACCTATCTTCCTGTGAGAGCAGCTATCCAACCTTGATATAGACTTAGGAATACTTAACAAACGCACACACCCATTAATCACCTAAGTACATTTAAACCTATAAAGTACAGAACCAATAACTTTAGATAGATTTTTTGTAACATTATTTTACCATTTTGCCTTATAGCCTCGCTAAATTTTTTGAGTTGCATGAATTAGGTACTATTATATTTTAGAAAGTACGCAAAATAAAAATATATTGTTCCAGTTTTATATAGTTCGGGGTAAAAAAATGCATTTGACACCTGTAGAGCGTATCTCAGTTATCTATAGATAACTGACTTTCGCCTGACACGGCAGAGTACCTCCATTCTACCCACCTAATAATAAGTGGTAGTGGAGTTCAGACTCTGAAATACCTGATACGGCAATTTGAGTTATAGTTTGGCTTTTCAAGCATTAATCTGTGCTATTTCATAAGCAAAAATCTCGGTTAAATCAATCATTATGTTTCGTTATTAAGTTTACTTTATGCTCGAGTTTATTGATTCACAAATCTATATAAAACACAACTGCTGTTCGATTGTCTCGCTAAAACGTGAAAACGATTGGATCGATTTAGCTGATTTTAGTTTTGATATGTCTGTCGTAGTGCAGGGAAAGTTTAAACGGTACAAAGTACACCAAGTTATCTTGTTACTAATAAATAGGTTCTGTACCTTCTTAATCAAATCTAAGGATTTGTACCTAATACAGTCAGAACTGTATATAATTTAATATATTTTGAATAAAATACTAACAACGACCACGGAGAAGACGATCTTGTACTTCAAGTGCGGTGTATGTCGTAGCGGCTCCAGCGCCGCCAAAGCCGGCAACGCCTCGTCTGCGGCACGCGCCCACACCGCTGCATACTGAGACACCAATTTACTTCTGAAACATACCAGCATCATTTCATTATCCAAAAAAACTATTAATTTACGTTTATTTCATCAAATGCAAACTATACTATAAATGAAATTGGAGAAATATAAACTTAGATAGAAATTTTGCCTCGATCCATGTTTTCCCCCTTTATGTCTGTCTGTTTCACGAGTATGGCTGTCCAGGCACAGTACATTCCAAATATAGTAGGTACGACTGAATGTGAAATGATCATCTCGGATTTCATCGAAGAAAGGATTCCTGATCGTTTTAACATGTTACATCAAACATTTGTTTCAGAGAAGATATATTAGTAATCTTTAACGAAATTATGTATGTAATCTTGTACTAAATATATGGGCAATATCTCCATAATATTTGAAACGGAATTACAGTGTATTTATTTAAAAATATCTGTATTAAGTTGTTAAGCTACTTGACAATGGACATCAGTTAAATTGTAACTAATTTTACCTATCTGGCAGTTGTGGAGAATCGTCACTGTCTGAGTGATAGCCGTCACTGGCTGAATCTGTTTGTGAACGAGGAGTGCCTTCTGTCACACCTTCTCTATCGCCCTCAGTCATCTGTGATAGTACTGCTGTACAGCCTCGGGAATAACTCATCAGAACTCCAGCTACTGGCCTGAAATTCCAACATCATATCATCAGTAGAAATATGAGATTAAAAAAGCTTTGGAATTAACAAATCACACAGAATGTTTAGTCAAATTTAATTTGTCATTATGAAACCCCAATCCCACAGATATAATTCTTACTCTTAGTTATAAGAAATTACACAATGTGACTTTCATTTAAGGTAACGGAGAAATACCGTGAGAGTCTTTGTATGTATTTAATCAACGATTTAATTGTCGGTTTGTGTAAGTGTCTTTATAATTGATGATTCTTAACGGAGATTGTAATAATTATTGTCGGAATATTCTTATGAATTAACAACATCAACACGCTTGTAATTTCTATGTTTTACACCAGTACCATGACCATTCATTTTACCTTTCACTAAATTGGTAACTTCATACTAAGGATCTGACGATTCCGGATGATAAAATTTATAAAAGTAGCATTCAGAGCTTAATTCAGCAGCCTGTATTGTCCCATCTGTGCATGTTTGTTAAGAAGTCTTTGTACGAGTATATATAGAAATTCAAAGACCTCTTAAAAAATATCTATAGTTACGAGAACTGAAATTCTGGTGCTATACAAACACGAAAAACTTTTTGGATGGTTATATTAAACTCATATTCAATGTTTACGATAATTATTAATGTAAACATAAATTATTAACCTGCTTATACTTAAGTTCTAAAATACAGATCGATATCGCTGAATGTCATATTGAAACCACAAACCCAGAGATACATATATATTCTGTTATCGTCGACTTTTTTTGTGTCGGCACTTTCTTTATTTTTTAAAATACGTTCATGAATAAATTATATCTATATAAAAGATATCATATCCTATTAATATTATAAAGGCGAAAGTTTGTAAGTATGGATGTATGGATGTTTGTTACTCTTTCACGAAAAAACTACTGGACGGATTTGGATAAAACTTTACAGCAATATAGGTTATACATCAGAATAACACATAGGGTACTTTTTACTGGGAAAACTTCTCACTCCCACGGGATACCGACTTCCACGCGGACGAAGTCGCGGGCGTCCACTAGTGTGGAAATATTTATGTACTCAAATAACCCGTGGTAGAGAAGCTCAAATGCTAGCTTCTAGGTATGGCATCCCTAAAGTTACATATTATTCAATATGGAGATAATAGATAAAATTAATTTTCCTTGGCTACTTTGTTTTTTTTTTATTTCCATAACACAAAGGCTTTAGCTACGTAGGATATGAGTAAAGTGTATAATGTTACCTAATATTTGTATATTTTATTTATTTACACGTTTCAAAAGACGTTACGTTAAGCTCTTCATATCTCCTTGTTATGTTTCTATGTTATACAAACAATAATCATTACGTGTTAGCGTCTTGAGTAACTTTGTCTAAATGTTTCCTTCGACTGGAGAAAGTGAAGATTTTCCTTAGCAATTTGCTTTTACTATACGCTAATAAAACGGTGATAAAGTCTACAGTCAACTCATGTCGAAATATTGGAAATTGATATCTGATACTTTTGAATTAAAGATGCAAATAGCACTATTAACGTTATGGTAGTATGCAAGAAACAATGGGTGAACGATTTTATTTATTGCTCTATAGTACATTGTTCCAATCGATAATATATGGAAAATAATTATAAAGGCGAAAGTCTTTGTACTACAATACATGAGACCGAACGACTGTGTGAATACAAATATTTTCTTTTACATAAATGTGAGTTTGTTAAAATTAAGATTTGATAAAATAAATCGATGAAAATATCAAAAATCTTGCTTTAATCCTAAATAAATTGTCGGCACCATACAAAAACCTATTTTTTTAAATTATATACAATATTTCGCATCTTCACCCAAGTTTAAACGAAGTAAGTAATGGCGATAATAATGTCTAATTGACTACAGCAGACGAAACTCAAGGTGTTCAATGCTAAACACCTTGATCGCGTAGGGTAAATAAATTAATGTAAAGTAAAAAGTAGATTAGAGTTATTTTTTCATCTAATATAGTAGAAGATTAGAAGATATTCTTAAAACAATTAAGTTTCCGGAGAAATAAATTATTGAATCTGTCTCGATCTCGAGAAAAGCGAAATGACGTCTAAACACAAAATTTCCAATCAAATATCCTCTCAAAGCTGAAAGGCTCTTACGCCACGATTTCAATCAAAGATGCAAAGAAGTCTTAAGTTGCTGTTAATAATTTAATATTCTTACATAAGACTTCACCGTTTGACAAGTTTTGGGACCTGTCATCGTAAAACCTGATCATTGATCAGTCGAGTATATTTGAAAGGCACTTTCACCGTCAAAACTTATGCGATGCCATGTAATATTGAATGACGGTAATATTTGTCTGGAAGTTAGTAACCGGTATATTGCAACAACACAATATCTTTCAATAACTTATTTTTATATTAGTGCTCCGGAAGTAACTCTGACTAAGAATCATCACTACGTATATCCATTTAATAAATATAAATAGTAAATTTTAGCCTCACTAAAACCTGAGGTTAATTCGTGGTGCGTTTTCTTTTCGGAGAGGGTGTGAACTGAATAAAACGTTCATAGGTTCATTAAAATTATCTGTTATAACCAGATATGAAGCGCCTTTAAAATATGTATTTGTATTATATTTGATCAATATTGCATTCACAAAGCTACACTGATGAATATTTTTAATGAAAAATGCTTAAAAAATCCACAAGGCCTGGATACCCAGAGGTGGGACTCGAACCCACGACCTTTCGAAATCCGGGCGACTACTCTAAAGTACTGAGCTACCCGAGACCCAAGTGGACTGACGAATTTTAGTTGTACTTGTTATTTTTCCGCTATTAGTGAGCGTATTTTCATGAATGTTCATGTTATCCACCTAAACAGCCGAATGAAATATTTTTACTAATATTTTAAGATTTCGATAAAGATGAAAATTATATTATATTTACATAATTATAACGACTCATGTCGATTAGGCTTCGGCCCACGGCAACGAATAGTCCTTACAGGTGTATAACTATAAGATTTGTTATTGAGTACACTTTGTTGTTCGTTAGCAAAATGCAAAATACGTGATCTTTAGTTTTCTACAATGATATAAATAAGAAACAAAACAAAACAAAATTACTATAGTACCACCTCGAGCTCATAAGCTATCAAATAATTTCGAAAATCAATCTAGAACTTCCATAGTAACCGGTGAACTTACTTATAAAACTAAAAAAAAAACAAATTAAATTAAAAACATTTATTCAGTCTAGTAGTAGGGTAAGAAGGTAAAGTTTCTAACTTTGTTGGTTTTTTTATAAGGGAATCTTCGAAAATACTGATCCGTTCATGAAAATCCATTCATCTATGAGAAGCTCCATCATACGACAGTAACATAAACTATAATTTTAGCGAGCGAAGTCACGAGAAAACAGCTTTCCGCATACGCAAATTTCGTAGTTGCTTGGAGTTTTGACTTTCGAACGGATGTTCGTTTATCATATAAACTAAAAGCCCCTTGAATTTTCTGTCGGTCATAATGAAAGAAACTAATCATGAGAACAACATGACAATAAAAAACATTAATCTTCAAATTTAATTGCCTTTCACTTCCTTCACCTCTATTAATCACAGCCTTGCTATTAACGCTTTTAAAATGTTACGTGTTACCAAGTTTAATATAACATTTGAAATTTAATTATAATCTTATATCTTTGATTGAAGCTAAACCGAAATATCATCTAGGTAAATTTATATATCAAATAGTAATTCTTATGATTCCTTGAGTAGTGCTTTAAGTATGAGTGCTTTTTAACAGACTTCAAAATTATATATTTTTCCGCAAATTAGTCGAAAAATAAACAACACATTGATCTCGAAAATTCAAGAACCATTACGAAGCAAAAAACGGAATTTTAATTATTCATAACGTTGAGTGTTATAATATTATGTGAAAAGCATTTCCCTTTCCTCTACAGATGTTATCTACTATCCTTCGAGCGTTAGGAAATAATTATTAAAATGTAATTACGTATGCGCATGAGTCATAACAATGTTTAATGTTACAGTAATTTCACGGTTCGCACACTTATTTATATTGTTTTGTTTTATTTGAACGTTATTTGTGAACATCTTCATCAAGAAAATCTCCAGATTAAAACGTCCAAGAGCGTGAAATTGGTACATTTTGCTGTTTAAGTGAAGCTGTATTCACTAATCTTACCTTGAAATACATAGAATAATAAAAGTCATCAATTACGGGAACAAAAATTGTATAAGTGATGGAGTTAATAAATTTAAAAAACTAAATTTACGCCATCATAAAATCTTTAAATTAAAAATGACAGATTAGCCTAGAATAGTGTTACTAAAAAATATATCATCGTCATCACTTTCTTACCGCGTGTCATTCAAATCCAAAGCAGGATCACTCCTCTTAATTTGTCCAACGCAAGCCAGAACAGCTTTGTCACTCTCCACCCTCGCCGCCAGAGAAGCCACCAACGTGGGTAGCTGTCTTAAAGCTGGTTTGTCCACGATCGTCAATAGAGATTTGTTGTCTATTAACCTTCGCTCTACATCTGCATGAGAGAGCGCGAGTAAGCGTTGGTGAGATGACGAGGCAGGATCCTGGTTCAATGTCACTGACGACTGAAAAAAATAAGTGAAATGATTAATTCTCACCAATTCCTATATAATATTTAATTGGTTGATTTTATTTCTTTCTAATGTGTCTAACCAGTTCATCTAATTTGTGTAGTGCTTGTTTGTAGACATCCACGTGTCGCTGTAGTTCATTCTTCATGGCCACATGAAGGGATATCAACGCTCCTGATGCGTCTGCAGTCAGACCATGAGTACCCAATCCTGTAGATAAAATGAGGTCTGATTAATAAAGAGGTTATTCTTATCATTCGTAATTTTTAAGGGACTATGTAATATGTTCCATATGTAACTATACTATCACTGCGAGCTAAAGAATCTAATGTTACTCGCTGCGAAAACTAAAGTAGCGCTTGTGTAACTTTTTTGATAGAATTTCAACAACTTGCATTTTGCAATTATATTATCTACCTGGAGTCTAAAATTATTATATCTGTCACCATTTATGTGTCAGAAGACATTCGTTGAGATTCTATTGAGATGTGATTATTACGTAAAGGTTAGCATGGTTGGCCTGCTGCACGAGCAACAAGACAAACTTGTAAAAGTCACTTTTTACGGGTCAATAGTGAGATATTGTATGGAGGTATCCCAGAAAAGTGACATTTGCTTGTAGACTACACGTCCGCGAGTTCTTGTTTTCTTCTTTTTTTCTTAATTGATGACTTATATGCGCATTTCTCACAATTCTGCCAATGTTAAGTAAATAAATTAATTATTACATGTAAAATGAAAATGAAATGAATGAAAGATCGACCGCGAGTTCATTTTTCTTTTTCAATTAATGGCTTATCTGCGCATTTCTCACAATTCTGCCAATGTCAAGTAAATTAATTAATTTTTACATGTAAAATGAAGATGAAATGATTGCTATGGGTGCCGGTAGCCTCCAAAAAGTCTATGACACTCTTGACTTTTAAAGCTTTTATATTTTTCTGTTTATAGATCAGTAATGGTCATAAAGAGGCGAAAACATGTTTAGGGCTAGATTAATGGTACGTATGATATGACACACTAATAAAAATGAGTCGGACTTGCACGCTAAGGTTGGCGACTAAATATTAAATTTAAAACATTAATAACTTCTTATGGTTTTCCTATTATATACATTTTTTATTTGGAAATTTAGCGATGAGGTTTTTTAAAGTGGCTTTAGTTTATTAAATCAACGATAAGAATTTCTCATGTATTTGAATCATAATAAAACTAAACTATATATCTGGTATCTCTAAGTCATTTAGTATCTCAAAATTATTCTTATTTAATAGGGATAAATTGTTAAATAGGGATTACAAGAAGATCAGCCCGGTATTTTATTATTAATACAAATTAATTTGGCTTACGTAAATACACATGGTTCTGATACGATACCATGATATTAAGTGCCTTTATTGAATAACAGTCTGTGATTATGCTACTGAATTATTGATATTACTTAATTTGATTAATCTGCAAAGCTCTCAAGGTGATAAATGAGTAACCGCAAGTATTTCTATACTTTATAAATGTTTTTTGCTAAGCTCAGTTTTCATTTAAATTAAAATATAAATTACATTCTGCACATAGATAAATTTTTTGTACGAAAGTTTTTGTCACTTATTTTATCATTGCCTAGTCTATCTTTTCCACAGAATAATATTGTTGTTATAGACAGCCTAGTTGTAAATAATTACATCATCAACTGAGCGTTATTTTTCTGAAGTAATAAAAAAAACTTATATCAGCAGCCAGAGATTTAAATCAATCCGTTTACCATAACCTTTACTACTATCGCAGACGATAGCAGCACTCATATCCGCACCGGCTTAATTATATCCAACATCCATAAAGGAAACCACTAGAATAACACAAGCATAATCATCATCTTTATATCTTTTTGGTTAAAGTTCAAAATCAAATGTGAGTAATTAGTAATTTGTGCTAAAGGATACGAAACATTATCCGTGCTTCCACGTTTACAGAGCAACTAATGTTTCACGGATTATCAATATTATGAACGCTTATGGCATTTTGAGCAACCTCAATATGACAACCTTGATGTGTTGGGAAATGATGGCCCTGATAAAAGACAAAGAACAACAAATTCCAATGCTAACGATTCGCTGTTGGGGTTTTATAAATGACCAGAAAAATATCATAAAACGTTTATTTTTAACTCATAACGATAAATTTATATATAAAACATTTTTCTTTTGTTTTTTCCTATTAAATTACTCCTCGTAAATAAGGTGAGAACAGGATGGTGCTTATTTTATAACAGTAATGATAAAATCGGAGGGATTGGTACGCGTATTACATATTTCTTAATAAACTTCAGTGTTATTCTGTAAAAACTACTTAAAAAGTTTATATTTCATTTTATTCAAGCTCTATGCTGTCACGGCGCTGTGCTTGACGTAGAGTTATTATTATTTTCTGATTTTAAATCAAGACAATAATACAACTCAAAAGTCAAAATATTTAAAAAATATTATGTCTTAAAACGTTTTCAAAGCTGCCGTCCAAATGTTTGGTGTGAATAAAATAATGTTTCGTAGAAAATATGTTTTTAAATTTTATTTTCCTGTATCGGAAGGGCTTTTTCTTTGATCATGTGAATTAATCGTTTCTAATCCCTCAAAATATGTGAAAGTGAAGTAAGAATACGATTTTTTACAGAATTTTTTAAGAAAGCTATATATTAGCTATAAATTTGAAAGCCTGTAACAACATACTATTTGGTGAAACTGTGTTCTGCCCTATTGGGATAACAGCTCACTTGAAATATACCTACATGAATTTAATAATGACTTATTAAGAGCTGTAACGGCCACATATATGGCCATCGATACAGCTCTAATTAGCGTTGATTTCCTTCATCACCATTATTTGAGACAGAATTTTTTATTTTTAATAACAACTTAATTTTATATTAATTCTTTTAATACTACTGTTTGTAACTTGTAACAGAAATAGTGAAAAAAAGTACGAAAATGTCGAACACCTTTCACAAACACATTTTTATTCATATGGAACCGTAGGGTTGTTCCCAGAGAAGAGATAATAGAACTCTTACCTTGCACTGCGGCGTCCAGTTGTCTTCTTCTCGCATCAATAGCATCCCTTGCGTCTGGCATGTAGATGGCGAGGGCTGTAGCCAGTCTGGCTGTGCGCGCACGCAAGCCAGACCCTTGGTCACTGCCAAGCAGACCGACCAGACGCCATGCCACAGCCTCACATTGCACCTCAGGGCGAGGAGAGATCTCCAACGTTATTAATCTATCGACAAACACGAATTTATTGGGACTTTTCTAAATAGTGTTAATTATTTTCTTTGAATTAATTGGTGATACTTAATTGGGATTGTTATTACTTGTAGGTTATATATTTATGGAATTTTTGGTATCGTAAAATTCTGATAACAAAACTAGCTGACTCGACAAACATTTTTTCTGCCTAAAGAAAAAAATATCTATCGTCATATCAATAATTACCTGTAGCTTTTGTGATCATATTTCTTTCACCTACTAACTCTATTTAAACACTCAATAACCTTGTTATCGTTAATACAATCGATATTCTTCGTAACTAATCACACTCAGTAATAACACTGAAAGTAGCTGTTAATGAAACAGTAAAGTGTAATCGAAACATCATTCAATAACTGACGTCCCATTTTCAATACATAACGCTGTGTTCACACGATCTAAAGAATATAGCGACGAATTTACAACTCCCATGATATCGATAACTGCCATTGGCGTTCTACGCCAATAAATAAACACCACTGGTATTTAGGGCACTGGCCCTAGAAATAAATAGACAGCTACCTAATATTCATCTGTATATATTATAAAACAAAATCTCTTCTCACTGTATGTACACTGAGATCTGTTAAACTACACAACGATAGTTCCCGCCTTATAGGTAAGCTAACAAGAGCTTCAAAAACTTTTCCATATTTTACCATAGATCAAATATTAAATTACGTAGACCGTACTCGATAGTTTGCATAACAGATTTATATAAACCTCCTTATCTTTGAACGATAACAGCACATACAAAATGGCAAACTAATATTAATGACATAGTTTGTTTATTTTCGTGAATTAGCATATTTATCTCAGCACGCCTACTTTTTGTGACCGCTTTATCGTTGATTTTCTGGTCCGTGTGAACACACTCTAATCGTTATCAGTGATCACAAGCTCATAAGAAGCCAACAAGAGCAACAGTCACTTTAACAGTTAAACCCATCTTATTGTTCCCACACTACAATTTCTATTTAAGCCAAATAGAACAGTTTTTTCAGCATCTCAGCGTAAAAGAATTGTTTTTAGCTTTCTTTAGTTAATGCGATAAGAGTAAATTATTACTAAGAAAGATATTCTTTATTCATAATATACGACCATAATAATATACCAATGCATTTTTATTCAAATATCACTCAATTTAATTTGCAGTAATTATATTTTAATAACTATAATTTCCTCGAGGGACTTCGAGGAGAAACAGGTAAAACAAATAAAAAGCTTAGATAATTTTGATTACTTGGTTTACTCGTACTTTTCATAATACCGGTCTATTAAATTCATCTAAATCAGTTTCACATCAATATTATTAATTTATAACATTACCTATATATATATATATATATATATATTTGGCATGCACTTGATGACAGTGCTCACTTTTCACAAGGATTTTAACAATGAAGAAAGTCATATAACTTGTTTATTAGAAACTGTTATACGACAAATGCTGTCAGATGAGTTAGTTAAGAATCTGTGTGATTGTTTAATCTTGCTAATTGCTAAATCTAATTTACATTGTTCTCTTCACTTAAACACTGGAAACTGATAAAATGCATTTCCTTCGTCGTATTATCTTGTATTACGTAACAAATGTACTTCCTGCTTGTTTTGATATTAATAAGTTTACATTGACTTATTTATTAAGTTATAATCTTAGAGTAAATGCGGAAATTTATAAATGAAAAAATCAAATATTTCCTATAATGTTATAAAGAAGAAAGAATTGATTGTTTGTTTGTTTGCATTGAATAAGCTCTGAACTACTGGAACAATTTAGAATAATTAAAAAATCTTTCACCTATGGGAAGCTACGTGTACAGGTGATATAGGCAATAATTTCGAGGGTGAAGTCGTGGGAATACAGCTACTGTATGAAAGATAGCAATTCAAAGTTTTTATATTGAGTATATGAAATATGTTTCTTTTTATAATTTCATTATTATAGTTTTAAAATTTTTCAAAAACAAAATGATCGAATATAACCACTCCCCTTCTTCCTATATCTCCAAAAGTACTGAATCGTTTTTTTATTAATAAATAATTTTAAAAAATATATAACGTGACTGCCAAAAATTTGAGCTAATAATAAAGAAACCAGTTGTATTGTAGCTTTATTAAAAAAAAACTAATTGCAATTGGAGGACTGTTCTGTGGAATATTTATAACGTATTCTAAGAGGGTTCGTGACTACCATGGGAATTTCGCTAAACCTAACCATAATAAAACTAGTTTCTTTTATTTTAAATTCGATTTTAACCTCTTAATTATTTTTATTTTATTCCTTTTAGTGAGCAGTTAAGTGTACTAATCGATTGCTTTCATTAGAAAAAAAAAGAACTTCATATTTTTAATGACGTCATACCTATACATTCATATCCGATAAATATTAAAAAGTTACGTCGGAATTAAATTAGCCACATACACACATACGTTAACCCCAAACACCCCATTTTTGGGCAGTCGTGTGATAAAAATATAAGTTAATATTTTTTCTATATATTACAGGAAAATCTATAAAAAAATATATATACAATACTAGCTATTTTCCCGCGACTTCACCCGCGTAAATATTATAGGTGAGAGAATTTTTAAAATCGTACAAGTAGTTTCAGAGAGTATTCAATGTAAACAAACAGTCATTTTTTTTCTATTTATAATACGGAACCTTCGATGCCAATTCCGACTCGTTCTTGTCGGAGTTTTTTAATAAACCTTATCTTAATATTTTTTTAAAGAGTCTCCAACTTCAATTTGATCTTGGTAGCGTAGTTGTTATATTGTGACGTCTTTACACTGTTACTGTCACTCACAATTACTGTCTAAAGAAGCCTTTACGCGTGTCGTATCATATTGCATGGATATTTAATACTGTATAAAAAAGCGTAACGAAACGGATGAAAACATTAAAAATATGCATGAAATTGCTTTAGCTTATGCTGAGTTGCAAAAAAAAGCGTTGCTAATCAAATTCGCTGACTTATTACTTATTATTGCTATGTATTCCGTGACAATAATATTCTTAAGAGCAAATGTTAAAAGAACAAATAAATAATAATACGAAAATTACTCTCAATCAGTATCTTTATTTACTGAAATCGATTAGTCATTTTCAACTTAAATTCTCTGTATAATTTAAAAAACCAGTCATTGCCAACTTTACCTATTAGAAATCATAATATTTCGACTTTTATAACATATAACAAAAAAAAACATAAAGATGACAATACAACTACCCGGACCGTATTTACACTTCTCTCCGGCGTGTTCTTCTAACAAATTCATACATATTATATTCTTTTGATGTTTATCTGATATACCGAGACAGTAACGATCATGCTGGACTGTCGCCGAACAAGGGCAATTATCACGATCGATCACGTGCTACCGTGATGGCCTGTGATTGTCCATTATGGCCTATTGTAGACAGGACCATGACCAGGAGGGTCCAGTGGAAATGGGTGTAAACGACTACAGATACAATTATGTTTTTTATAATATTGATTACACGCTTATATTAACACCATTATTCGAATCAAAAGTCCTTTTAATTGTCACGGGCTATAAATAAGTAATAAACAACATTTCCAATATAATAAAGCTTACAGCAATAAATAGTGAAATTTCAAGTTAATGTCAATTATCGTACAATTGGCGCCCATATACATTTTAATAGCGGCTCGAAAGAACCTTGAAAATGTCTCTTTTTTACGATAATGTCGCACCGGAGTTTATGGTTTTAACTCAATTAACAACGTTTAGCGTTTAAAGTTATAGCTTCACGCTTATTAAGTAATAACTGTAATCATAAAATAAAAAAGCTCCCGTCCGTACAACGTTAATACGTCGATCGTTTGACTCTAATCTTTACACAACATTTCATTTTTTTGCTTTAAAGTAAGGAGGTATATTGACAAGTTCCCATGGTAACAGCATAACGGGTGGCAGAATTAAAAAAGTTTATAATCGAAAAGAAGAGTTTAATGACCGCCACGTACTTACTTTCTGGGATGATTAAAAAAACATATTAAAATATCCAAAGATATTTATTTATAGTACCGATTTGAATATAAAAATATTAACTTTCTTTTTTAAAAGTTTCAGCTATTGAGAATTTTTACGGCAATGGAGAGCCTGTCGCACCTGCATGTTTTCCACGTGACAAATATGAAACAATATTTTTTTAAAGTTCATGTCATCCCATGCAAGATTTGTACTGTTTTTATATAAGATGTTTGTTAATAAAAATGCGTTAACGAATTATTTAATGAAAACAATTTAGATATTGATAGTATAAAAAAAACTTTGTATTCACTTATAAATTAAATTAAATCTGTGAATTACAATAGTTAATTAATTAATTTTTAATAATAAGTAATGGAAAACTTGGGAAATGTTACAATAACCTTCTTTCTTTAAAATTAATAGAGTGATCATTAATTACTATAGTGACTGGTGTTTTTTGAAAAACTCAGGTACAATTATATTGTACTTCAATTATTATACTTAGAACTAGACAAATTTTTGAATGATTATATAAGCCCACAAAAAAGCAATTTAAACTGTTCTACGGAAACAGTGTTTACTTTACTTATGTTTATGTAATAAATCCAGAAGTGTTGTACTTGCAGCATTAACCTGATGATATCATCACGTTTTTAACCCGCAACTGCCACAGACTTTGTGCCGCCCGACCGGTTGTGGCACTTTCTCCCGCGCCGGCCGGTTGTGGCATATCTCAACCCCTCCCACGATTTCGGATATAAGAGACGGTCCACTCGACCAATCCATCTTTTGAATTTTTTGTAAATAGTTACATCGTTTTAACAACTTTTATATATGACTATACTAAGTTGTGCCACGGATTTGTTAGGTTATTAATTTTTCATTAATTTTAATAATTTTTAACCGACTATAAAATCAAGGGGAATATTCTATGTCTAATGATTATGTATATTTGCCGATTTC